ACCAGGGCAACCCAGCTGCAGGCTGCTGCAGCAGTGTGGAGGGGTACTCTGGGCTCACAGCCGGCCCAGCAGAGCAGGCAGGTAGGTAGGTAAGGTTTCTTTTCTTCCTTTAGTTTCTGGGCTTGGGGGACGTGGGGAGAGATCAAGACCCCCATAGCGCAGGAGGGAGCAGGGTAGGGGCAGGGCTGAATCATTCACCCCTGCCCCACTCCCTGCAGCACTGTGGGGATTCTCCCATGACCCAGCCTGGCTGGGGCCCCATTCACAGAGAATGTGGTCCCGGCTAGGCCAGGTCACGGGGCAATTGGAGCCTGACAGCTCCTGTCACTGCGCTCAGTGTGGGGGGGCTGGGGGAGGGGTGGCATGTTCCCCCAACCCCTTGGATCTAATGCATCGTGGATGAGCCACTGGGCTCTGATTGCCCCATGACCTGGCCCAATCAGGGCCCCATTCACAGTGAATGGAGCCCTGGGCGAGCTGGGTCATGGGACAAACAGAGCCTGGAGGCTCCTGCAGTCATAGCGCCGGGGAGCTGAGTGGGACATATTTCTTCCCCCTCCCCCCCCCCCATCTTTGTATGGGGAAGGCTCTGCCTGCTCCATGCCTCACTGCAGCCTTTGAAAGCGGTGCAGCACAGTGCCATATGCCTCGCTGCCCGGCCTGCCCAGCAGCAGGACACACATGGTCCCTGCAGATTTTTTTTCTCCCTCTGCACCAGTTGGTGACCAGCCATAGGTGCCCCCACACTATTAGGAGGCACCAGTTGCCCATGGTCCCTGGTAACCATTCCAGCATCCCCATGCCTCCATTCTGGTGTAGAAATTATTTTGTTCCCTTAAAACACCACCCCAATTTTGCATTGGTAATGTTTGTGGAAAATTTTGGGGAAACTCGCTTGTGGCATATGAGTAAATATGATAATTACAGTTCCATATCAGTTACAAATGTTAGCTAGATCCTTAACTCTGGTCCAATCCCTGTAGCTCTGCAACTATATAAATGGACTATAATGTTGGTTTAAATGGCCATCTCAAGATTCTCTCTGCATGGAAGAAGGCCCAGTGACTTAGAATTCATATAAATAATTCAGTGGACAACCTGCAGTATAGGAGGTTTAACTGTGGGAAGGGAGCTTGCCTAGGTTGCTGGTGTGAGTCAGTGTATTCCCAGCTGCCTAACAGCTGTGTGGGGGCCATCACAGCTGCCTGTAACTTTAAAACATACTAGAATCACTGTTGGTTGTCTAGTGTTCTGTGACATATTGCCACAATAGTAGGAAATTATCTTGATTCAGAGGTATTGCTGATAGGTGACAAACTATTTGCTGATCCAGGTAAATGAAGTGCACATACACACACCCCCTTCTCTAACATCTTAGGATACCTCCTGTTATTGGTGTAACATACTTTTGTTGTTGTGTCAGCTGTGATGCTTTAATTGGTTCTTGCCCATACCAATGATGGTGGATGTTGAGAAGCATAATGAACAAGGAGATGGTTTACTTTAGTTCAGTGATTCTCAGCCTTGTTAGATTCAAGACACCCTCCAAAAAATGCCAGCTCTTAGCTTTTGCTCTTTCTTTGATTACATACAAATAATAGGACAATTCATATGTTGCAAAGAACTCAAAGACCACAACAGATCAGAATGTTTTTAACACTGTGGATTCCTATTTGAAATCTCTGGGTTTATCTTGTGAATCATGTTTGCGCACCTAATGGTGCTAACTTGCACTGCTGCACTTGAAAGGATCTTAAAGCTGCAGCATCCTGGTTGAGAATCACTGCTCTAGATGCACCCAATCCAGTGCTCTCCCTCTAAAGCAGTGGTTCTCACTCTTTTTTTGTGCCAGGACCCATTTGTAAACATTGGCCAGTTCCGACCCAGTGCCCCTCATTCCTGAACTTCTGCCCCCCCCCACCGCCCTGCTGTGTGGGGCAGGGGGTGGGTGTGAAGGGCCTGGGGGGCCCTAAGCAGCCCCTTGCAGGCTGGAACTCTGACAGCCTGCAGGGAAAAAGCCACCATTTCCCACATGTTTCTCCATTTTTAAAGTTGTTTGATCCATTTTTAAGGTTTGTTTGTGACCCTTTTATATATTCTTGTGACCCACTTTTGAGTTGCAACCCATGGGTTGAGAAATGCTGCTTTAGAGCATCTACTCCTGGCATTGTCACAACTGAATACTGGGCTCAATAGACCTTTGGTCTGACGTAGCATGGCACTCTGTTCTCCTTAAGGACTATATGGTCTAAACCATATAGGATCTGGCTCACTGAGTCGTGTCATCTGGCCTGTGGGACTTGCCTGGGTCTGGAAGTTTGGCAGCAGGGAAGCCATGACAGCATTGTCATGGTTCTCAGAGCTGCAACAGTTGCTGCTGCCACTGCTTGTCCTGCTATCAAATTTCCAGACCCATGGGGAGCCCTGTGAGCCCAGAAATGCAGTTCCTCAAGCCAGATTGGGCCCATAGGGCCAGATGAGTGGAGCACCACTGGTATAAACCAAGGTACATTACAAGGACTCATTTTGATATCCTGGAGGAGATTGACAGGTTGGCAAGATTATTTTTTTTATCATTATTTTTAGTGATGTAGGTTAGCATTTGTAGATTTGACATAAGAAAGGAGTCTGTTTGAGGAATCTGAATAAACAGAAAGGAA